GCTCATTTAAGAAACAGATTAATTCTGTAATGGGAGTAAAGTAGGTTGGAATAAGATCAAATAGGCTGAAGAAACTTCATCTACCTCCTCTTTTAAATTTGTTATGTCACACAATGTTGCTTCTTGGCATAACACAGTAAACAAATAAACAGTGGGTAAAATTCTGAATTATTATTTAAACTGGCATTGTACATAACGTTAACTTCAGTTCATATACTTCTGCTCTGAGAAAATATTCAGTGTGAATCAGATTTCCATTGTAAATTCTAAGTCATAGACATTTCAACATAAAATAATAATAATAATAATAATCCTTGCATTTCATTTAACGCTTTATCACGTCTTCAACATGTCTCAAAGTGCTTCACAAAATATACTGTAAAGTGAATTGACTATTTTGTGGTCGAAACGCGGCAGTCAATTGCATTCAGCAGTGAATCAGATAGATCCACAGTACTCCAAGGCATTTTGACAATGGATATTTTGTGTTGATAGACTGCACTGTTTTACTGTTGTGCTATTGTAAACAGTTTAAGGAAATTGGGGTTAAAATGGAAGATCAATTATTTGATCATCTTCCCTTTCTCGTCAGGAATTCAACATTTTGCTTCTAATTTTTTCCATCTTGTGTCCTCAGTGTCCTCAGTGTTCATAATAAATAGAATGATCCTTGCATTTGATATAAGGCCTTAACACATGTTGAACCATCTCACAGCGCTTCACAGGAATTTTTAGTGTAAGGTACAGTGATTTGCAGTTGAATTTGCAGTTGAATACATTTATTTCAACTGTAATAGATACATTAATAATAATAATCTTTGCATTTGATATAGTGCCTAATCACATCTTCGAGGAATCGCAAAGCGCTTCACAGAACATACTGTAAAGTGAATTGACTATATTTTGTGGGCGAAACGCGGCAACCAATCATGCACAGCATTGCCTCACAAACAGTCGTGGATTGAGTGACCAAATTATTTCTCTTTATTTCGACGGAATTATTACCCCCGGAAAAGCCATCGAAAAAGCCAACAGGGTTCCGACTTACTGTTAGGTAAACAGGCATGTGGAGTAAGGAAACTTGCCCAACTTTTCCCCCCGCCAGGAATCAAACCCAGGTTGAATCAAAGCTCTTGCTTGCGAGGCGAGTGCTCTAACCACTAAGCTACAGGGCTCGCTAATATTAAAGCACAGAACTGTATTTTATACATTTTCCAATGGCCATGTTTTATATTTTAATGAATAGTTACACCACTTAGAAAATCTTAATAAGATTTAATTTACTGAAAAGGCCAATTACAATGATAAAAATATACAGCCTGTGTCAGATTGTTCAGCATAAATATTTTAGTATCAAATTATAATGTTTACATATTTTATAAACAGGAGTTAACTTCATGAATAATATTTGTGCCCAACATCTTAACTAAATGTGTACAAGATTACTCATACATATTATATGATAGATCTATGGTTTGATATGTGTTATATATATTTCCATTGTTTAAAACAATCCATTTACATTTTTGTTATGCCTTTAACTCCATCTTAATCCAGTCTCAAATTAGTGTCAGATTCAGTTTCTGGTTAGAACATAGTATTAATATGACAGTGTAGTGAGTCACTGCGTATTACATAAAACATTATACTTCTAAGCAAGAATAATCTATTTTGTTGTGTTTTATGCATCTCCATTATCCTTCAATATATATTTGCTTTCTTGATGGATAAGAAAAGGAAAACATAATTCTCGCTATTAGAAGAAATAGAGAAGTATATGACAGACTTAATTCTACCAGTACATACGACAGTTAATCAACTTTGAGCTCATAGTTGAGTTCATGGCTGATACTCCAATGCAGTGATGCCATTTCAGGGGTGCCATCCTTCAAATGAAACATTTAACTGAGGTTTCCTCTTCCTGTTCAGGTGGACATTAAATATCCCTTTGTATTACTGGAAAAAGTAGGAAGGTTCTCTTGATGTCCTGGCCAACAAGTCCCCATATAAAATTGATCATTCATTTCATGGCTGCTTGATGCACATTGCTGTTACAATGAGCTGTATTTGCCTACAAAGTCTACAGTAACAATACTTCAAGTAAATCCTGTCAAGTGCATCTTGATATGGAATGCACAATATCAAATGTAAGGATTATTATTATAATATTCTATGATTTACTTTTAACAACAACAGTCAAAGAAAACCGAAACAAAAAATGTTATCACAAAAGTTTTGCAAAGATGGGGTAAACTGACAGGGCAAAGTGCCCCAATGATAGGTAAGTTAAATTCTAACATCGGGTGCGTTTTAAATGAGCTCTCGTCTTTTTAAAAGTTCCCTCAATTTAGAAGTTGGTGCTTAAGAATATCTGAAAACTAGCTTCCAAATTTAGATTGAATTTAACAATCTTCCACAATTCTATGTGACCTTACATTTTCAGTCAAAATGACTTGCAAATGGAATATCAGGCCTGTGGTTGATATGGTTGACAAAATTATGCTGTGTAGGTCTCACTGGGTGTTACTCTGAGCTCTGAGGCAAGGGGAAAGAGAGACAGACAGACAGACAGACAGATAGAGAGAGAGAGCAAAGTCATTCTGGCTGTTGCTTTTAGTGAAGTGAAAGTGACGTGGATGTTATGTGGGTGGTGGGTGGTTTTTCTGATGTTCCTCAGGAACACACACTGTTAGTACTGGGGTCATTTGAGGACTCTTTGTTAATGCGGAGTCCTGTAGCTCAGTGGTTAGAGCACTCGCTTTGTAAGTGAGAGACCTGAGTTCAATCCCAGGCAGAGGGCGAAACCTTGGGCAAGTTTCCATACTCCACACAGAGCCTAATAATAATCCCTCCAAAAAACAACAATAATAAATTGGTCATTTTCAATCTACGACTGTTTGTGGGACATTGCTGTGCGCAATTGGCTGCCGCGTTCGCCCACAAATATACAGTCAATTCACTTTACAATGTGTTCTGTGAAGCGCTTTGGGACGTCCTCCTGACGTGAAAAGCGCTATATCAAATGCAAGGATTATTATTATTATTATTATTATTAAGTGTTGAAGGACTGGGCACATAAATTGTTTGCTCTATGGGTATTTTCATCCACAAGGATATTGTTTCTTAGCTATAAGTACTAAACCAGCCATATATGAAAAACAAGTTAAAAACTTTCCAATTGAGAGAATACCAGCTCCATATTGTTCTTGCAGGTTTTATTTTAGTGTCAGCTTAGCTCAGCTCAGTTGGCTCTGGATCAGATGATTGGAGTTCAGGCCCTAGTTCATGTCTTTGAACTAGACTAGACTTATATTCCAGTGCAGTAATGGGGAACACTGCATTATTGGACGTGCAGTCTTTCAGTTGAGACTTTAAACTGTCCCCCTGTTCAGATAGATGTTAAAGGTCCCAACAATCTTTCAGATTAATCCTTCAATCACCTCATGGCTATTTGAGGAGCCTTGCTGTTAGCAATATTGCTGCAGGGTTTGCCTCCAAAAACAGTTTACACTTTATAAATAATCACTGTGACATGCCTTGAGATATATTCAAGTATAATGTGTTATAAAAGCACCGGTTTTGTTCCAGTGCTTTCTGGAAATACAGGAAGTGTTATAAACACATTGTTTCCTGTACATTTTGTTTTCTGTTGGAAGTATACGAATAAAATGCAGAAAACAAATGAATTTTTTTTTACACAATGCACCAGTAGGAAAATGATCTTTTTATTGCAGCCATTATAATCACTTTCAATAATAAATAGTACACATCACTGCATCAAATGAAAATAAAATCCGACTCTTGAGAAATGTATTAACAACAGTTCACTAAAACTCTGGCACATTGTTACCCATTCTTTATACAGCATTAAACCCTTAAGATCAACTAAGACATGAGGCATACACAAGCTTCTGAACATGACATTGGGGACAAGGCAGCAGATAACATTCACAGCGACAACATTGGTAAATTACACAATCTTATAATGGAGTATCAACATTGTGAACATAACACAAATAAATGTGTTACATACGAAAAACATCAGTTAGGGAAGAAAATCCAAATGTTTATTTAAACAAATGCCTGCCTAAACAAATGAATGTCACCTGTGTGTGTTTGTCACGAACTAATACAGCAGACGCCAATTCCCAAACCCTCACAACGTGTCCTTACAGACAACAAGGTATTTGTTTTAATACAATCGCTATCACAGGAATCATTACCTTTGTGACACAAGCCCCTGGAGGGAGTGTTACTAACTGAGCGTATCTGATGACAGTGTGTGATAATGAGCCATGACGTTGATGCCTGCCATATGATACATCTAGAGACAGAAGCAGGCTGTCGAAGCATGTGTGTTTTTTTCCCTGTAAATCAGTTCTATCCCTGCAGATCTGTAAGACGCGGAATGCCAGGATCCTGGCAGGGATATTTTAAACGTTCAAACTCCAAAGTTATAGTTTGATGGACAGTTTGTAATCCATGCTTCCAGCTGTTCCACCAGAAAAAGGCGGGCTCAGTCAGGGGTCGTGCACTGCCAGAGAAGGTTCACTCCAAGTGCTTTCCAAATAGGAATGAATGCAGGTCAATGTATAATCACGATCCCCATCTACATTTTTCTTAAAGAAGGGAAAATGGTACATTTTCTAGAAACCAGCATTTTCTCTTAAAATTAAGTCGGTTTCAAATTCCATTCATTAATGTTGCCACAAATGGTTGCATGCGTCACTTTTTTAAAAAAAATGCACATTTCCCTTAAAGAAGTAGACTAATGAGAGAGAGAAAAAGACCCTAATGAAATTGAATGAATATATCTTTAAGAAGATACAGTACGGTTTTCAACAAAGACACACTTGAGAACAAGCCAACATGGGTTGTCTATAAACAAACAATGTAAAAGTTTGTATTATTCTGTACTTATGCCTTATATATTTTCAATACTGACACAGCACCCACTTAAATAACTCGGAGATGACCAGGTTACCAAAAACACTGCTCACAGGTCATGTGTACGAGGGAATGGGATTGCTCTTTGTTTGACAAAGGGACGACCCTTATGTTTGTCTTTTGTCAGCTCTGTGCACCACAGCTGCTTTCAACAGTCACTTGACCCCCAAATCAATAGAAAAAGTTCCATTTGCCACTATCCAAATCGAAATTTAGGCCTGTATTTAACAGTGTTGGTATTCTTCCTGCTGACCTTGACGGGTGGAGGCAATTTGGGAGGTTTAGGGGGTGTTATCCTCTCTGGAGTTTTTTTTGTGATGGTAAAAGTCTTCTCCTTCTCAGACTGTTTGAATCTGGGAAGGAAATGTGTAGAAATGTGCTGAGGTTTCACCCGAGGGCTATTCCCTTTTTTGGCTTTCCCACGTTTGTTTAAAGCCACATACCATTCTCGACCATTATGATAGTTTTTGTAGGTGGCTGAGGCATAAGTGTTGTAGCTGTTCTCTTGGTATCTCTCCCTGAATTTGCATTCATTTGTAAACTTGGTCTGTAAGATAAGAAAACCAAATCAACATTTGAACAACGCATTCAAAGCAGGCATTTCACTTTGATTTGGTCCAACATGTTAACAATCTAACCCTGACATTTATGTGTATTATTGGCTAGGGAAGAAGTAACTTCATTCAAAGGCCTGTGTTCTGGCATAGTCTTGGGCTCCGAGTTTGGATAGGTTGCGAGGAATGAGAGGGCTTACTGTATTAAAACGATAAGAGACTTTTGTATCACACATACAGATTGGCACCATACCGTGAGTTTAGGTACAGTTATAAATTACGTGGATTAAGATAATTACTGAGTCTATACTCAAATATATTTTCACCAACGATTCCTGTGGTCTAAGAATCCACAGCAGACTCCCTTTTATTTTATTGTTGGATTCATTCCATGTTAACTGTACAGACAAATTAATTTCCCCACGTTTTGTCTCGGAATTTTGTAGAAAATATCCTCACTTCAAGGGAAGATATCTATCTGTCCCAAATGTAAAAGTGGATAAAACAATGATTTTGCATGCTGGATAAATATATTTGCGCATACAATCTTTCTGTTCTTGAAACAAAGTCTAATTCGGGGTGAAGTACCTCATACCAAATAGAAGATATCCAGGCCGCAGAAATTTCTCAATATTTTCCTATAGCTTCTTCAAAACTCATTTACAGAATTAAAATGTAAATATCTTTCAATAATCAGAGAGATTCATTAGATAAATTCCTACAAGCGGTAACTAGTTTCATAAATTCAATACATGGGTATGAAAAACAGTATATTATTTTTAGATTTGTTGTATATTAAAGATTAGTTCTGCACAAAATGTATTTCATTTATGGTTTAGATAAACAAAATATTTTAAAGCTGTTTTTAAAATAACAGTTCACCGTCAAACCTACCGCACTATCCTCACCTCAGCTAAATCCTCCTTTTATTCCAGTGCTTTGGGACATCCTCCCAACGTGAAAGGCGCTATGCAAATGTAATTTCGTTGTTGCTGTTGTTGTTGCATTCCAAAATTATCTTGGAAGCTAAGGACAACCCCAGGTTCCTATTTTCTACCATAAACCAACTCCTCCATCCACTCTCCCATGTCTCTGCCATCCTCTCCTCCAACACCAAATGCGAGGAGATGAAGAATTTCCTCGAGTCCAAAGTCAAGGTATCTGCTCTGCTGCCTCTAGCCCCTCTACCAGGACCCTGTCCCCACCTCCCGCTCCCCTTCCTGCCCCCCCATCCCTTCCTCCACACTTTTGACCCTGTCTCCCCCTCTTCGCTCACCTCCATCATTTCCCGTACAAAACTCACCAATTGCTCCCTTGACCTACCCCTCTTCTCAGCCCCCAGCACCACCTCCTTGCCCCCCTACTAACAGATCTTGTTAACGTCTCCCTGTTCACTGGCACCGTACCCATCCCCCTAAAGACAGCTGTCAGCACTCTTACCCTCAAAAAATCTTCCCTTGACCCATCTCTGCTCTCCAATTACCGCTCCATTTCAAACCTTCCTTTTCTATCAAAGGTCATGGAACGAGTCGTCACTTCCCAGCTTCGATCTCCTCTCCCTGCATTCCCTCCATGAATCCCTCCAATCTGGATCTCGTGCTGCTCACAGCACAGAGACAGCCCTGGTCAAAATGACAAATGACATTCTGTCCACCTGCGACCAGGGCTCTCTCTGTCTCCCCTCCTTCTTGACCTCTCAGCTACTTTCGATACTGTTGACCACTCTATTCTTCTCTACCACCTCTTTTCTCACCTCCACCTCAATGGTTCTGTTCTTGTCCGTTTGCAATCCTACCTTTCCCACCGTCTGCACTTCATGGCCACCAACAGGTTTTCCTCTAGCTCCCGCACTCACATGTGGCATCCCTCAGGGCTCTGTCCTCAGTTCCCTCCTCTTCAATCTGTACATGTTCCTGCTCAGCAATGTTATCCGCAACTCTGTCTCACTGCCTCCACTCTCGACTCCTGGACCATTGATGTCCTGACTAATTGACTGTCTGACATCAAGTCCTGGAGCCAACTTCCTCCAGCTCAATGTTGGCAAGACAGAGGCCCTCCTGTTTGGCTCCAGGCAGTGCCTCCTCACCTCAGCCCCTGGCACTATCATCATTCATGGCTGCACTCTTCACCTCAACGAGTCATTCCAAAACCTCAGTGTCCTTTTCGACCCTCAGCTATCCTTCAAACTTCACATTTGTACTGTGACCCATTCCGCCTTTCCACACCTCCATAACATTGCCCGCCTCTGCCACTGCCTCCTACCGTAGGCCGCAGAGACCCTGATCCACTCTTTCATTCTGTCTCGGCTTGACTACGCCAACTGCCTGCTCATTGGACTTTAACCTCCGCAAGCTGCAGATTATTCAGAACTCTGCAGCTCATGTCCTCTCCCACACCAAGCTCCATCAACCCCGTTCTTGTCCGGCTTCACTGGCTCCCCATTCCTCAGAGAATCAAATACAAAACCCTTGCTCTTATCTTCAAGGTCCTCCACAGTCTTGTTCCCTCCTACATCTCCGACCTCATAACCCCATATCAGCCTGTCTACTCCCTCTGCTTGGCGGACACCGGCCGACTTCAGGTCCCCTGAATTTCCCACCCCACCTTTGACGGTCGGTCATTCAGCATCTCTGTCCCCACACTCTGGAACTCTATCCCGCAAACCCTCCGCCTCACACCCTCTCTTGCCTACTTCAAATCCCATTTGCAGACCTTCCTCTTGGACCATGCCTTCAGACACCCTTCCACACCCATCCTCCCTGGCCTCCTCCTCTTCTGACCCCAACTCCCAGCTCGGGTCCAAAACACCTGATTGTCCAGCGCAGTGGGATGTATTTCCAATGTAAAGGGCCTGTACAAGTGTAATTTGTTGTTGTTTTTATGCCTTTGTTTTGGAGAGTAAGATTCTGAAATCTGAAATAAAAGTTACTTATTGGTTTGAATCTTCTTCTTGAAGTACAGTATACACTTTCTATTGATTAAGCAGCTGATTGGAAATCTACTCTGTACTCACACAACAGTGTACAACAGAGTCAATCACCCAGGGTACTGAGACTCCAAGCTGGATAAGAGACAGGGCTGTGAGCCAATGGATAACCCAGATGCAAGTTAAAATCTTCAATAAGGAAACTAATTATGGTTTCTTTACACATAACTGGTATCTAGTGAAAATTTGGAAAATGAGGGTGAAAAGGCAAATCACAAACATCTTTAGGCATTAAAACTCCAAAATGCAATCATTACTGTGTGATATCCGGAGTTCATTATTTTAAACTCCAATCTTTTTTAAGTGCATTTGATGTAGAGATTGGTCTGAATGCTACCATATGGTTATTTGGTTTTTTATAAATGAGGGAATTGACTTAGAAAACGGGCAGTCTCAGGAGAGACGACACTTTATAGCTTTAGTCTAAAATATGTTTATAGCTATCAGAAACTGAATCTACATAACGTCCTCTTGCACCTCTCTCACAACGCTTTTGAAGTGACCAGAATTTGTAATAAAATTCCGCCAGGCCAGGCAACAATAAAAATGGAAAAGATCCTCTGCAATTTGATTCTGTGGCATCCACTTCCAAAGAATTGAAAATTGCGATGTTTTCGAGAATTTAGATGAAATTTTTTACAGAAACTTGTAAATAAATACAAGGGATTTACTTTTGCAAAAAGTCATCTATGTTCGGTAGGCTCTCAATTCACACTTTCAGCGCAGTCAGAAGGCTGAGAAACTCAATTAACCTGAAGTAAAACATGCAGAATTGCAAAATATGTCAAATTCTCTTGAGAAATTGAAGGAAAATCTCATGTGTGGCGACGATTGATAATTGCTAGGACACGTAAAACGCTGCAATACAATATCCTTCGAACCCACTTACTGATTTAATTATGGAGCCATCTGTATTTTGGGGAAAGACTGTCAGCAGACGAGTCAAGATAAGAAAAGGAAGGACGGGAGCACAATCACAACGTAATAGTCCAATAGGTTTGGTAGATTGCAGAATTATTTCTACCATTAACTTTTATCTGCATTTGAGCTGGAAGTGGACAGATTGAGTTCTATCAGAGCGCAGCAGTAAGTGGCAGGCACAGGATTCTCTCAGTACTGTACTTCGAAAACTTATTAAGCAACCACAGAACTTCACCCAGCCATGACCAGGCGAGTCAGATGGCATTTAACGTTAATTGCATTAATTTTAATCATACCAACAGAAGGTAATTTAGATCAAATGCCAATTTATATGCTTGGGATTTGGAACAAAATCCAATTACTTAATTTTAGCTTTGATAGATGTGCTTCTTCTCGTCAATTTCTTGCAATCCTAAACATCAAGTAGACTCAATCCATATTCAGTTTAAGGGCTTGAAGCAAAACCCTATCACTTTGTGGTTAAAATAATGGTGGTATATACAATGGGGATAAAACTATTCTTGAACAGCCTTTGGGTCCCTTATTCTGAAAGTCAAATGAGCAGGATATCTTATAATTGAAGCGAAGTTTTATTCAAGTTTGTTCAATACGTTCCACTGTTGTCTTTCCAAAAGCTACAATTGTTCATAATGATATTAATTCGTTATAACTATTTCTACATATGCGAAGTTTTCTAATTATGTTATCCCTCCATTGATAAATGGGCTATTTGGCTATATACTAAATAAATTAAACACTTAGATTTTTAAAAAAAATAAAACATTTGCCCCTTCTATCAATATGCATTTCAAATATTTAAATATTTTAAATATTTCAGATCATGTCAGCATTTGTTGTGAACGACTGAGGACGTTAACATTGTTTCGAAAGTTTATTTAGCTTGGCTTCGAAACAGTCACTACACTTGACAATAATCGCTGTAAAGAACTTTGAGACGTTTTGACGTAAAATGTGCTGTAAAACTGCAATATCTTTCTTTCGAAAACTATCCCCTAGTAGTTATATTGCACAGTCGTGTCACTCTGGCAGGATTTGTGGTTAAGTTATTAGAATCTGTTACAAGGAACAGGATTATAGTGAGATGTGGTTCTGAGCACAGGGGGTACTTTTATTTTAATTTTACAATCAAACCTATCCATACACAATTTAACTAATATTCAAAAAGATTTCAGTTGGTAAATATTTAGATGCATCTAACAGCGTTGGACATGAGCACGTTGAACATGTGAGGCATAAAGACTTTTATCCAAATACTGCTTCTTCCTGTGAATGAACAGAATTGTTGTGTGATCCTTAAGTGACCAGTGAGCACAGTAATACTCACCGTTGCGTAGACTTTCCCTTTTTTATTCATCGCTAGGAATCTGTCGCTAAAAATTCCTCGTATCCCCACTGTGCCCTGAGCCACAGCGAATATTTCCAAAATACCTGCAATTGAAATGTTACAAGTAAAACTGTTTGCTGAGGGTTTCACATGCGCTGCCTGAGGAGGAACGAGCCCCAATGCAAGTTTCTTGTGTTAATGCATAATTCACCTTTGGTCGCAGATGGCACCATATTCTTAGAATCACTACAAAGATTTTCATTGCAAAAATATGCACCTTGTGTTGTTCCTTCTAAAAATAGCGGGGCTGCCATTATATGGGCTATTTATTCATCTGTTTGGTGTACCCCAGTTTTGCGCTAATACGGTGCTGTTGAATGACAAAACTTGTAAACTGCAGGACATTAAAATACTCGCATTTCACGTTGCAAGTGACACTGTCAGTACACAATTTTCACATCACTAAATCGTTTATTCCCATCTTTGTTCCGTGAAGTTTTCGAATGCGTTTGCAAAATCAAGTCAAATCATAAATTTTGAATTGTGTCGTTTTAAATTATTTTATTTAGTTTTGACAAGAAACCTTTAAACTGTCTTCTAAAATGAACAGTTGGAAAATTTCACGTTTCACACCCATACGACGAGATTTGTGTGTTTTTTTTTTGTTGTTGTTCGCTTTTGGCCAACAACAAATTGATTCGCATGCGGTGCTTTTTACATAACCATTCTCAGTGCGAATGGATTATCCGTAGGATTTAACGCGAGTCATTATTGCACATAAGTCAATTCAACGTTAAACTCGATTTCTGTTTTTTGCATTGGCCGTCGGATCCAAATTCGGCATTAAACCGAAGAAATCCACGCAAGATTGAGATAGTATCACACATATCTGCATTTCCCTGATAACAGGCAATTGGCAATGAATGCGTTGATGTAATATATTAGAGCCCAAACAACCGCACTGTGCACTAACCCAATCACTCCAAGCATCCAGTTCCCTATTGCCTGCACCTGTTACCAACATACTTAGCAGTTTAACATGACCACACAATGAACGCGGGCCACACAACCTGACCTCTGATGCACCCATCACAAAATCAATATTTCTATTAAAAATAGCTTTGCAAACAACACGCTTTGCAGCCTTGCAGTCATTCGGTACAGCAACGTCCGCGATAAGGTTTGCGGAAAATCGGTTCATTTAAAAAAAAACATTATTTGTTTGCTCTGTGCCCTCCCGTTTCTTAGCTGAAACGTTTCGTTGTTTTTTTTCTTCTGTCACGTCCACATTGATCGTTCAATCACATGCATCGACAGTAAGGAAATACTGTAAGCCACAGCACCCCGAGACATGATCAGGGGATACAGTCCTCAAATACAATGTCATTGAAATGTCACCATCGAGCTGACTGTTACTTTATTGGATGGACCGTATCTCTCGCACAGTTTCATCACATTGGCATCTTGGTCTGTTTTGCGCTGTGTGTCGGATGTAACAGAAGCAATTCACTTGCACACAAAAAAAAACAGTCGTGCTGATATAATGTACCCCAAAGGCAACTGAAGTTATCATTTACTGTACATGCTGTACACATTCATAAACTATATAGACACTTCCCGCATAAAAAAAATACTATCCGTGGACTATATTATGTTGGTAATGATTGGCTTTGTGGATGTTACAGCGTTTGGCGTTGTCGTGCGAGTTTGTTTGAAATAAACACTTACTGAACAGATTGGCTTCGTGTGAGCCACTGACTCTACCATCGGGGTGAATCTGCAAATGAAATCCAATTCCAACTCTGCAATAGAGTAGTCCAGTTCGGGGCCCGGATCTGTTCCACTGGTACATGTTCCTCAGTGATCTGCGGCTCTGGGAGGCAGAGGAGCTGTTTGTAGTGTCTTGGAGAGGCTCTGCAGACTTCACCTGCTCGCCGTGTCCAAAAGCAATGCAGGCGAGATGCTTCAGAAAGAGGAGGAAGCATAAAAGGCGCATTATTCCAACAGATCTTTCCCGAGTGGTCCCTGCTAGGGCAATGTCCGCATTTTGCTGATTCTCTGCTCCATGCACCAGCCGCTGTGTGTGGTGTGTCCACCAGACATATCCACGCGAAAGCCAGTGCTGCTGGCACAGAGATATTTATAACACAAATGATCTCACTGCGAGATGCATGCCTGCGGTCTGAAGGACGAGCTCCCATCCTGCAGTCGCCAAAAGAATGGACATGATCGTGTCCAGTGGGCGAAAGGCGAAGAGAATTGGTTTGGAAAGAGTTGCCATTAAATAAACATGCCAGGACGCCATCTGCGCAGACATCACGCACGACGAGGCTAATTTTAATAGTAGAGGGAAGTCTACAAATAATTTATAACAAACGGAAATGGGTCTCACAGGGGACAACCGAATGAGTCATTTAATGTCGAAATCCGAGGCTGCCGTAAACTAATGGTTCTTAACCAAGATCCACAATGATCTCTAATGACCCGTCTGCTCCCTGGAGGGTTGAAATACATATACACGGCTGCAGAGTGCAACGCAGATTAAGGTAACTTTATGCAGTTGATCAATGTGCAAAGTTTTCACATTGGTCTGAGTAATGTAACTAAATTTAGGAGTTATATTAACAGTAATATAGACTTAGTGTCACCAACAGCTTTGAACAGTGTCAGGAACCGCTTTGCAACACTTTGCAAGAAGCGAACCACAGGGGCTAAACACTACCACCATCGGTCATGCACTATAAGTCGCCAATTTAAGTAAGTGCTCCAGTTTTGCAGATATAACTCTATGTAGGTAAAAGGCGCAGAGGGGGGGGGGGGGGGTCAGCCTTTTTACCACCACGAAAACAATAGGTTTGTTTCAGTGCAGAAAGGTTTCAGAGTATGATAAGAAGAAATCGATAACGTTCTGCTTATTAATCCGTTTGGATAACCGCGATGTGTTGCAGCGATTATAGAAACAGCACAGCTTGTTTTTGAAGCGACAAGATTTTCAGCTTTCCACGTGTTTTTAAGATCATTGGTCCATACTCCTTGCATTTGATATATCAAATGGTTTACAAGTTTACAACCATGACTGGTTTACAAGTTTACAGGTATAACCATTGATGGACATGACAATTGAAAGCAAAACAATATAATCAAAACACTTGGCATCTTATGTAATAATTGTGTGTGTGTGTGTGTGAGAGAGAGAGAGAGAGAGAGAGACGCATGTGTACATTTTGAGTTTTGCTTGCGAAGTTGTGTATGTAACGCTGTATGTTAACATTTCGCCCCCACAAAATAATACAGTCAATTCACTTTACAATCTATTCTGTGAAGCGCTTTGAGACGCCTAGAAGACGTGCAAAGCGTTGTATCAAACGCACGGATTATATAACATGCCCACACGATTACACCACTGAAATATGTTTATGCGTTTTATTTATGTTTTATCCCTGCTGCTTTTTAATCAAATACATTTTTCATTTTTTAAATCGATTTTATTCATCTTAATTTATTTAGCACCGTTTGTCAAAAATGAGCAGTTTTCGCCTGGTTGTAGGACGATTGCCCCCAAAATAAGAATGGAAACTAAGAGAGCAGTTGAAATGCACACAAATAACCCCAAACTCATTCCAATCTTCATTCCTTCCTTATATTGGATCAAGTCATTTCAACAATATGACCGTTCTTTAGCACTGTAACCCGAGGATTGCACTTTACATCAGACACGGTTTAACATTTGAACTAAAAAAATAAAAAGAATAACAGAATGATTAATGGCATGATACCTTGAATTCACCATTAAGTAACTTGAGGAAGGAGGATTTCCCTTTGTGTGCGTCATTTTATTTTAGCTTCACCTCCAAAGACTCTTAGTCTATTCGTCTCTGTAAACGTTCATTTAAGAATCGACCCCAATGAATTTTTCATTAGCAAACATAATGAAACGACTTAGATAAAGTACGCGCACTAATGTCACGCTACATTTGCTCTGGTTTTTAATCAGACGTATGTTTTATTTATCATTTAAAAGAAACATGAATCTGATTTAACCTATCGCACAAATTGATTGTTATAAACAGCAATAGCTTTGTGTTTCTCAATCCAGATGAATAGTGAATGCATTTTTTATAACCTTATTTCTGCAGAGTGATTTGGGGCTTTTATTTGATGTGATAGTTCAGTAGAAGTTTGATATGAATGGAAAAGGTTGTTTAGTGTAGTGGGTAGAACTTTTTTTTCAGTAAATCAGACTGATCGGAAGAAACATGTCCCAGAGGATCTTGTTTTCTGGGGGATTTGTCAGTCAGTGGCAGCGGTTGATTTTTTTAAGCACATTTCAGAACTGTATTTATTTGCTTTTCGTATGGTTCGTAATATGAATTAACTCATCCGATGCATCTTTTCAGCCATGGGACTCGGCTTCCTTCCCAGCTTCCATGGAAGATGAAAGATACAATAACAGAAGGAGAGCTAATACAGCATCTGCTACGAAAGCCCTTTGCTACTTTTGGGGACCTCTACCTGAAATACCTTGGGAGGTTTTTTTGCCCGAGGTTTCAGGGGTGAAACCACACACTGTATTGGCCACTCACGTCGCAATCTCTCTCCAAGATATATGCTTGATATGCTTGGCGTGGGAAGTGGAGAAATGCACAGGGACACAGTAGATTTGAAATCGGTTGACTGTGTATTTGAGGTTGAGTTGAGGTTGGGTGCACTGCTCGGGTAAAGAGAGCTTAACTTTGCATCTGAAGTGCCCAGACGTGACCCAAGCGTACTTAAAGCTGAAACTGGATGCTCAGACTGGAGAAGTGTTCTCCTGCACTAACATTTCTTGCATTGTGGAGAGGGACTGCCCTCCCCCACAGACATACTTAAAGATACAATAACAGGACAGAGCCAATACGGCATCTGCTCACAATAATGTGCCACAATGGATGGGATAAAGAGAGCGAGTTGTCCTGAAAATTTACTACTCAGCAGTTTGGTGGGGGTTTTTTGTTTTTTTTTTGCAAATAAAAGATGTCCACGGTCGTTTTCTGAACCATTTCATTTCAGTTTGAGGAGAATAAAAATAAAACTTCACTCGGTTGGGGTGAATGCACAATCCAGACCTGAGATGCCTGTCGTGTAAGCGCCGACAATCTGTCCCAACCCCAGAGAGACATAACAGTGGTCGAGGCTGTAATGCTTCTGATATAAAGAAGATCCTTTCGAAATGGATAATTGTTGATCGAAGATTGTTGAAACGCTTTTTTCTCGAATGCACGGAATGAACCAGAGCAGAGCAGTTTTGCCCGATTCTGAGCTTTATTGCCCTGTTTTATTGCCGGCCACAAAATAATGCATTCATTGTGGAGACACGTTTCATGTCGAAAGTAACGTGGCGGTTGTTTCAATAAATGAACATGGCATATCTTGCAGTTAGGATGGAGATTTGGTAGTTTTCAAAACATATATATATATATATTCCAGTCAAATAACGTCAGTCAACACAACCAATCTGCCTGAGTGATGCCCGATTTAACTTTTATGAGTCAATAAAAAAAGGCAAGAATGTTGAAAGAATGGCTACCATCTGTTTTCGTGTAACTGTTTAATACATTGGAAAGAAATAGCTGGGACTAAGGTAGAATGTAAACGAGCCCCCTGTGGATACTTGGGGCAGTCACTCACTGCATCTTAAGAGTCGAGTAGGGTTGGGCGTTCAGTGGTTTCTTCATTTGCAACTACCAAATAGCGTGTAGGGCTGTTTGTGCAGTTCCTCTTCTGCTTCGCCAAAAGCTGAACAGTAAAGATATCAGTTATCAACACTCAACAGCATCTCCTCTCGTGTCCTCCAGTCTTCCTTCCCACAGAGATGTGGCGGTTCTGAACGTCTCGCTGTCCTCATGCTTAGGAGTGCGACCAATTCTATGATGAGTTTTATTGTCCAACAACTCTGCCACATTTCGTCTGATAGGAAAGGGGAGAATGACTCCATCATACTACCCTGAGGCAATCTGACGTGTTGCAGTTGTGAACCTGCAGGCCAGATAAGCTGAGAACATGCTACTTCGTATTAACCCTAACATGCCTGATGTATTCTATTTAATATAGGTGCACTCTGGCATTTCTCAAGCTACCGTGCACTTTGCAGTTGCTTCAGCACGAGTTCTCTGTTTATAACACAAAAGCTGTTCCTCTATTTGTGTTTTCCAAACTCTTCTATGTGCCCAGTTTTACAGCCAGTTGCCATACCCGTTTGGCTATTGACAGGACAAATGAACCGCACCTGTTGCCTGATCATTGACACGCACCTGTCAATCGAAATATTGACTGGTGACAAGACACTGTCGATCTGACAAACCCTGGAGGCTTTCTTATCCGCAGTGTGAATGATCAGACACCTGCCCAGTGATAATGACTGTCTGAATGGCAAAGTATTGATGTTTGAAGCAAAATGCCCACAGGCTAAACCAAGAGTCCTCACTATTGACAAACTGATCACTGGAACATCTGTTAATAGCTGAATGACTGCTCACATTTTTTAATTGAATAAGACAGTCCTGCTAAATGATGTGCTATAATTTATCTATGCCTGGATTACTTTATATATTATATGTATGCAATTTATCCAATGAACATAATAGTTTTACAATAGCATCAAAAACCTCAATGCTACTTTTTTTTAAAAAAAAGACATAGTTATGAGCGTATCAACGACAGTACCTTGCATCATGTTTCTCTATGCTCCAGAACAGTCAGAAACTATTAATGTGTATTTAATAAGGAATATATTAGCTATCTGTAAATTGATTGCAACCAATTGAGAAGTTCAGGTAACGCAATAAATCTGGAGAGTGAAAATCAATATTCAATTACTGTCTTAAATTGAATTACTGGTATTTCTAATCTTTTATAATATATCCTATATGTGTTTATATACAACCCAGTAAATCTGCACAGTTTATTAGATGCAAGTGCAGATTTAAATGTTATTTATGACACAACTGGTGTACGATGTGGGGAAAAGTATTTCCAAAATTATAACGCAAGACTTAAGGGTTTGTTAGATCTTGTAATAGGATCTACAAATTTGCAAGTTGATTCCTACATTTCCAACCTAGAGCGTAAGAAAAGTTTTACTGTCGAGTATGTTATAAATTCAATATTAATAATAATACCAATTCTTGCATTTCATATTGTATGTTTCACATTGGGAGTATTTCTCAAAGCACTTCATAGGATATAATC